TGGTCCCCTCCCCTCAAAAATGGTAAACATTATGCCCGACTGGTGTGGCTGAGTGGTTGAGCGTCAACCCTGCACCAAGAGGTCCCTGGTTCAATTCCCGGTCAGGGCACATTCCCAGGTTGTGGGCCTGATCCCAGTGGGGGGCATGCAGGAGGCGGCCAATCAATGTTCTCTCTCATCAATGTTTCTATCTCTCTCTCCCTCTCATTTCCTCTCTCTTTCTAAAATCAATAAAGAAAAAACAATTTTAAATGGAAAATATTAAAATGTTAAATAAAAACAAGTGTCATTAAATGGACTATTTATGATTTCGTCATTAAAGTGGCATTTATAGATATTTGAATAACATGTGAAAAGCTCTGGTAATCATGGAAAGTGAACTCAGATTTCCCTGGGGAGACGTGCTCTACAGGGATCCCATTTGGGCTTCAGGAAGGAATAAAGCTACTCATTTCTCCTGTCTTGAGCTAGGCAAACATCTGCATTGTCCCATAACACACACACACACTATATACACACACACACACTGTATAAATATACACACACACATACACACACACACTATATACACACACATTATACACACACACACTATATATATACACATACACACACACACATGCACACACACTATTAGGTCTTGGCTCTTGCCAGTCTCTGTGTTCTCAATAGGTTTTTCTGTTCCTTACATCGGTTCTAATTTTAGCTGTCCTTCAAGTCCTAACTCATCTTACTTCCTTCTGTGATCATCTCACGATTATCCTAGAACACTAAAGCATTCTCATCACGGTATCTTCTAGAACTGAACTTTCAGTTAGGGTATCACAATACCCTGTGTCTATTGCCATATGAAGAATGCCATGAATGCCCCATCACGAGGTACATGGACAGTGGTTTGCAAATGTCTTATTTGTTTGATAAAGGAAATGAGATCTAAGGGCTTCAGCATCCACTCTGCGGTCAGATCCCCTCCCGGGAGTCCCAGCTCCAGCACTTACTGCTGGATGACCTTGAGGAGCTATGTATCCTGTCTGGGCCTCCACATGTCATCTATAAAATATCGATATAATAACTCTATTTATCATTATGTTGTAGACTGATCTGTGCATTAAGCTCCCATAATCAAAAATGTCTTTCCTTCATTCTTAACTTGAATTTCTAATAAGGTATATCATGACCAAGATGTACCCTGAGTACTTGGAAGTTTGACTTCAAATACACAACTTATAAACTTGCACACTGTGTAAAACAAATAACCATGGTAACTGACTCGGGTCTAAAGGCCCTGAACGTTTGTTGGGTTGACAGGGCTTGATCTGAACTGCAAATGATGTTTTGCCTTTAATTAGCGTTCTGTAGAATAGGCTACTGCTCAGGTAAGAAAATGTCTAACCATAAACTAAGGACAGCTGTGGCATGTGAGTACTCAGTGGGAGTTCAGGGGACAGGCAATGATCTCACGTCATGTTCTAATAAGAAGCTGCCACAGATCGGATCAGGGCTGCCCACGTTCACCACCCCTTCTTACACAGGTTGTTGTGAACAAGGTGCATTTGGAAAGTAACCTAACTTGCATACCCAAGTTTGTTTGTTTTTTTCTTTATTGATTTTAGAGACAGAAGAAGAAAGAGGGAGAGAGAGAAAGAAACATCAATGAGCGAGAAGACCGATTGGCCGCCTCCTGCATGACCCCCACTGGGGATCGGGCCCACAACCTGGGCCTGTGCCCTGACCAGGAATCAAAACAGCGACCTCTTGGTGCATGAGTCAACACTCAACCACTGAACCACACTGGCCAGGCCTGCATATCCAAGTTTTTTATGTGTCATCAGTTAAGAGGGAAAGAAAATTGAAATGGAGTCATGATATATATACTTTCAACAGCAACCTGTTGTGTCTAAATACTCGGGGTTCCCCTTTTGTCATTTCTCAGAGAGTCCATCGTACCCTCCTTCCCCTTACCCAGACCAACAAGGGCTAAAGAAGTTAATTCTGTCTGTTCTGAGTCAGCCCTATCGGTTCACATCTGCTGGAAAGAACCGGTAATGAAAACAGAAAACTAACCCCGAAGAGCCTGACAGGACAGAAGACTACGAGAGCACTCGAGAAACGACCAGTTTTAAAGATTCTGAAGATTTACATGCATGGTTCTGACTAAAAGGGTCGCTTCCACAGACTGTGCCCAACACACCGAGAAGGGGCCGTTTCCACAACAGCAGACCCCGAACAGTGGTTGTTTGCACATAAGGCCGTCCGTGCGTGGGCTTCACCGGGGCAGCTCACCTCTCGGACGCCCCAGTGGGAGATCCGTGCTTGCTAGAGGCATTGCAAGTGCAGTTTACAAAGTGACTCAACACACTGGTCCTTAGCCAGCCGGTGGGAGGGAGGGGCGAGTGGGAGGAAGGACCGCTTCCTGACCTGCACAGGTTTCCGAGGTGTGCCTGTGAAACCCGAGTCGCCGCTGCTCCTGCTCCGTCCCGGCCGGGTCTCCGGGAGGAAGCCAGGAGGTCACTGCTGCAGCCCACGGTGAGCAATGTCACGGGAAGGGGACTGGGAAGGTGCTGAGGAAAACGGTATCAATGAGCTTGGTCTGTTGACTCTTCAGCTCATCAGCTTGACAGTGTGACTTTAAATATCACCCCCTCACCTCCACCTATTTTCTTAAAGCTTAAAAGATTATATATTTAACATGATGGGTGGAGAAGATTAAAGTAGAACAGTATTCACAGAGATGAAGTCCTTAAAATATTATTAAATTACTTTAGCAAAAATGAGTAGAGCCCAGCTGGTGTGGCTCAGTGGTTGAGCGTGGATCCTGCACCAAGAGGTCGCTGGTTTGATTCCCGGTCAGGGCACATGCCCAGGTTGTGGGCCTGATCCCCACTGGGGAGCATGCAGGAGGCAGTCAACGAGTATTTCTATCTCTCTCTTCCTCTCCCTTTCTCTCTCTTAAATGAATAAAGAAAAAAATATTTTTTTTCAAAAAGAAAGAAAAAGTGAGTAGAATAAGCTTTAAAACTCATAGAAATGATGGCATGAGATTTGGCCCAAATTTAGAAGCTTTGACTTAAATCTTCTTCAGGGTTCTCTTGTCTCACTATTAAATTGAAGTCCTTTCTGTTTTTGCCTCTGAGCTTCTGACAAGAGCATGGCTGGTGCCACCTGAATGGTCCTGTGCACGGAGCAGCACAGAAGGAGGGTTTCAGTCGTCCACATGGAAAATCATGTAACAGCGAATCCATAATGATACAAGAATACACTGTTCCACATACTCACAACTGTAAACCTACTTTTGCCCCAACCTGCAGGTCCTACAGTGTTTTATGTGCAAGTATGTTATTTTTGGCTATGTAGGAATACTATTTCCTAAGCCAAACTCAATACTTACAGATTGGTATTTATTAGAAAGCTTAAATAAAACCATGTAATTTTAGCATCCACATTTTATTGGTTTTCTTTGTAGGATCTGTGAGGAAATGGGGCTCTGGAGGAATGATGTACTTGTTCAAAAACAAGAGCCAGGTGAAATGTAAACCCAGTCTCTCAGGCCACTGTTCTTGTCACTGTACCAAGTTTCTAATAGAAAAATTTAAATAGAGTATTTCATTATAGAGCAAGATGGTATTGTTTTTCCATTTTCCAGGCAAGGGACAGCAATAAGAACATCATCCTGTGATGGCCACTGAGCCATCTCTTCTCTGATGGGATGAGACCTCTCTGGGCATTGTTGTGAATGACACTCCAGGCATGGGTGGGGCACGGAGTGGCTGAGGGCCCTTCCAGAATGGGAGCTCTGACTTGCTCTTCTGTATCAGAGCCTGTTGCAGCCCAGCTGGCACTGACGTGCCCCTCCTGCAGCCCGGGTGCCCTTCCAGCGGGAGCAGAGGCTAGGGTGTCGTATTGTAGTCCTGTGGACAGCTCCGGCCTTGGCATGGCTCTGACATCTTTCTGGAAGGTCCTCCTCCATCCCTCTCGTTCCCACATCAATTTTAAATTTCACATTTCCCCTAAAATCCCCCACAACGAATGCCAGCACCTTCTGATGATGTCTTTCTCGGCTGTATCTCCAGTTCATGCAACTTAATTTGGGCCACACCTCTCTAAAGGACAAGCCCTCGCTATGTTGTCTTGTGTTTTTGTTAGTGACCCCAAGGGACTCTAAAAGCACAGAGACGAGGGCTCATGTCCTTCATTTGCTTGTTGCTCCTCGCCCTGTCCTGTGTGCTGGGCGGCACTGCTGTCCCCTCTGCGCTTCTCCGGCCCCGGGAAACCCCTGGGAGAGGGCTCCTGCTGTCCTGACGGATTCGCGCCACAGGTCAGCTCGCGCTTCCCACCTGAGGCCTCCCAACACTGCCTGTGGTCACCGGCTATCACCAGCAGGTTGGTTCCACTGTGTCAGATCCCACGATGCGGTGACGGGTCCTTCCCTCTGGAATTTGGCTGTGCCCAGGTGCACATGAGAGGAAGTGACATTTGCCACGCACAGGTGGAAGGTTTTAGAAATAGGCCCCTGTTTCTCCCTGTGCTTCCTCCTTCAGGCCATGGCAGCCTTCAGGACTGGGGAGCCTCTCCCTGCCTCCCAGCATGAAGGCAATGTGAGTGAGGGCTATGTGTGCTGAGCACGTCACAGGGGCACAGCACGGCTGCTGGTCACTCAGACCACTGAGTGCTTAGGCTGTCTGTCACAGGATAACTCCGCCCACCAAGGCAATGCAGTCAATTAGATACCTCCACTCTGCGTACCTGTCACACCTGTCTTGCCTCTACCTCGATGTTTCCGTTCCCTGTCCCTTCCTGACAGACCCTCTGCTTCCTGAGGATATGACTAGCATCCATGCATCCCCACGCACACCTCAGGGTTGCATCACCTCGATGAACACATGCTGAATAAAGGAATGAAAAGCGCCTGCCCAGGCTGACTACATCCTGCAGGTAATGCTGGTATCCTGGACTGTTGCCCCACTCTCACTCTGTGGTGGGTAAACCACGGATCTACTCACAGTGATGGCAGGTGGGGCCAGTGTAGCCGGTGTCACCGCAGTGACAAGAGAAGGTGGTCCAGGACTGGGAACAGCTTCCTCCGTGCTCACAGTAGTTTGGCAAACACCTGACAGGAGATAAAGCAAAGCAACCAAAATAAACCAAACCCGTTGAAATAAAGAGAAAAGCAGAGATGTCACATCTTTGTGACAGAGTAAAGGGATACAACATTCCTCCACATAAAACAGACTTCAGTCCGTCAACATGCTACTATGATCACCTCGAGAGGTGGGTCCAACCACTGGGCGATGCAGGATTCCAGCTGGTTTAGGAATCAAGTCAAGGATTTCAGCACTAGAGCAAAATCCGGTTGACTTGCAGTTACTCTGACGTGGTCAGAATCTGGAAGGCTTTTCATTTTCCATCGAACAAAATGTGCAACGCTGGTATTTTACATTTTGGAAAGGTTTTGCCTTTTTTAAGAAAAGGGAAGGTGCAGATAATTGTGGTCAGTGCCCAGGTTTCTCTTTTGGGGGTTGGCCAGAAGTCTGTTTTAAACGGCTATTTCTGAAAGGCAACATGCCATTTGAAAAGACATACCTGCTCATTTAACATGCAAAAAAATCTGTCATTTTTCAAAGTGCCAATACCACCTTTAAAATAAGGCTTTTACTACTTATACTGAAAACAGTGTAATTATTCTGAAAAATATTTTCACCATACATGTTTGAAACTCTGAAACAGTCCTGTAATCTGACCCAGCAATCACACTTAAATAGCTCTGTCTTTAGGATGTATTTTAAAATATGGAAATTATGCATGCTAATTATCATTATTCACAATGATGTAACAATGAATCAAGATAAGTGTTCAAGATTAGAAAATGTCTTAGGAAAGTTGTAGTCCATAAAATTAATGTGCTCTCATAAAGCTACTACAAATGATGTTAGCAAATGGGATTGTAATGGGCTGGGACTGGCGTCAGTGGAAATTCAAGCTGTAAAGCATGGCCCCAACAAAATAAGAAAAACACTTTACATTGCAAAAATGATAGGAATGCAAATGTTAAGTGTCTCTTGGTCTAACGGGAATGAAGGCAATGTTTCTTTCTTCTCTTTTTTTTTCCCCCTGAGCAGAGATTGTGGACGTTAGGGTCACATACACCTGAGTCTGAACCCCAGCTCAGCCATTGCTGCAAGTGCCTCTGGGTAATTATCTCCCGCATTTTACATACACGGATTAAAAGCAAGTACTGCAGCCCTGTTAATACTAAGAGATAAGCTGTCAAGTGCTCACTATTTGCAATGAATCAAATAAAGAGTGAAAGCTAAAAAGAATGAAATACTGAAATCTTGAGAAGTATCTTTGCAGGGGAAAACGTCCTCTGGATTGAGAAGGGGAAGAGGTGTGAGCTACGGAGCAACAGAGGTGGTATAACACAATAAAGTCTTCACTGCGGGGCCACTGAGGTGTGATTACCTTAACTGTCCTATATCGGTAAGAAGCCCTCTGGCAAGGATTGTTTCAAAGTCCAGAAACTAATATCCCTGCATATGTTCAGACGTATTATTAGACATTTTCTGCTCAGCACAGCAAATATTCAGTTGTGCTGACAGGGCTTATGTTTGGGAAGAGCTTATTGGTAACTCCTTGGTATCCAGCTATGGCTTAAAGGAAAGGGAAAAAAATAAAATAGGACCTAGTAATTTTGCTATAGAACAGGTCCACAAATCCAACCAATAAGGAAATAAACCAAAAAAAAGTGGTCCCTTTTCTCCTCTAAATGCTACCCTGCTCCTTGCTTTTTACTCTCAGCTTATGGTCTGGGTGGAAAGGAAGAGAAACAGGCTTTTCCACTGGGACGAACCGCAGTCCACACCCCCACTACCTCGTGCTCTGGGAAGTTGCGTACTTGAAGCATCTTTGTCCTCATCTACGAAATCCAAGTGAGGACCTCTGCTCCGGGTGTGCCCCGATGGAGGGAGCATGCAGCCAGGCTCAGGGGTGCCCACCTGCCCCCTCGTTTTCCTGGCATCCCATACCTCCCTGCTCCTAAATACTGCTCCTGCTGCAGTTATGTTTCTCCATCATTTGTCCTCTGAAGCTGTCAAGTTTTTACATGACCTTTCTATACCCAGTCCTACCCTATGCCCCCTCACTCCCCTCACTCTCTGCCACACACACACACACACACACACACACACACACACACACAGATTCCAAGACAGGAAGCTGAGCAAAGCCAGGTCAGTAGATTCTTATCCTACAATTCCTTTGGTTTTGGCACCAAGAAAGTTCACATCAGCCTCTTTTTGGTGGCTGACACTGTAAAATAGAAAACCCAGAAGTTCTGTGGCAACATTTTAGTCATGAAAAGGAAGCTTGTCTTCAGTGGAAGAGAGAGAGAGAGAAAGAGAGAGAGAACCCAGATGCAGCCTGTAGGAGGAAAGGGTGATGGAGAGAGTCCTGACGTTATTTATGTGGCTAGTTTGTGTTGTTCCCAAGATTTGGTTGCATCCTCGAACTTTCTGAGGGCTGGCAATTTAATCTATATTAGATTCTGTGAGATACCCCAAGGTCTTTCCAGAAGAACCCCATTGAATTCAGGCAAGCTCAAGTTGGAATTCAGTTACTTTCATCTAACAGTCTTAACATTTTATAAATCAGCATTTTATGAGCACAAAAAATAAAAACACATTTTCATTGTAGTGCATGCTTTCAAGTATTTTAAAACGCATGATTGCCGAATTCAGTTGGACCTGCAGGAGGTCTTGGGGAATAGAAGAAATATTTGGGCACTTTGAACACATGTTTAATAAACCTCACCCAGACCTTTGTATTGTAGTGTTAACCACCTCAGTTTATCAATGAAAATGAGGCTAGAAATCCATATGTTTATGGTCACTCAGAAAAACCAGTGTTGCATCCTAGTAGGGAAAATTAATGATTGTGTATTGGAAAACCTAATATCCCTAGAATGAAAACAAACAAACAAACAAACAAACAAACAAACAAAGAAGAATGAATGCCTACAAGCTTTCTTAGAGCTGGTTCATTCTGGTTCAATGCACACCGTGATTAGGAAAACTCATCTGTAAAGTAGACATTCAAAGAAAAAGATATATAACCCCAATTTGCTTATTTGAAAAGGGCAGTTTTATGAGTATAATTTCCATATTCTTTAAGCAGTTCATTTTAGCTGGTGTTTTGTTTCTTTTTCTCTGAGCACTTAAGACATAAGCAGGAAAGACGCGCAGAGCTGGTTCGGTGAGGCGGCCCCGCCTCACTAGGGGCTCCCTCCCAGCGCTCGGAGGGCCCCCTGGAGCAGTGCCTCCTGGACCCGCACCCTGTTTCCTATTGGCTGGGCTAATGCGCGCGTCCTGTGCGTGCGAGGTGACCAGCGTGGCGCGGCGCCCTCGCCCTCCAGGGGCACGGGAGTGAATGCCCTGCCGGGGAGGGGCAGAGGGCGGCACCGCAGACGCCGTGGCTGTCCTGTGAAAACTGCGCATCGCGAAGGGAGAGCAATGAAGCCCTGAAGCCCAGGCAGAGAGAGTTAGGAACGGAAGGAGGGGGAACAAAACAGTACACGAGGGACACAAGTTATATATAAATTTTATGTAAGAATTTATAATCCCCCCCCCCATCAGAAGGACCATTGCTAGTTGGGGCTGTGGACAATCCAGGTGGAGACGAGGAAGGAGGGGCTGGTCGGGTGGTCTGGGGCTTCATTGGTGTTGCCATCGGCCTACACGGGTGTTGGTTCTGGCTCACCGCTGTGTGTGTGATGGGCTGGGTTATTCCCGAGGAAATCTTAAGGGACAACATGTTTCTCTCTGCAGCTGATGCACAGGGAGGAGACCCTCTTCAAAGCAGAAAACATGCCTTTACAAGCGGTGAGGAGAATGAACCACGAGGAGGACTGGAGGCAAAACTTTCTAAGAATTGAAACCCGAGTCCGGTTGCAAGCATCCTGGCAACCACAATTGTTTTCCCCATTGGCATGGGAAAAACAGAAAGTCTCCTGCCATTTCCCTTGAAAAAGATCAGAGTGGTCATTGCACTCAGTTCACTATAACTGAGACGGAGTACAAGAGCCGGCTGAGTGGGTGGGTCCTGGGAAGAAAGTATCGGGAAAGCAGTAGGATTCGAGATACTCCTGGAAAATGCAGGCTGCCTGTTTGTTCATAATTAGAGAGTTTCATAGAAGAAATATAAAATGTTTGGCTCTTCTTAAACAAACATCACATTGCAGAGTAATAGTCGTAGCGAATCTCAGGACTCTATCTGCCAAGTTTATATTTGAGTTCGGTCTCCTCTTCTGAATTCCAGACTCATACTTGGAGCTGTTGCTTCACAATTCTACTTGGGCGTCTAGCAAATATTTCAAAATTTGCACGTTCAAACCTGAATTTCTGACCTCCTCCCTCACCGCGGCCCCAACCTTTTCATCGTATCCTTCCTTTCCTATCAGATGATAGCAACCTGATGCCTGACTCCCTCCTTGCTGGTCCTTCCGGTCCCTGGCAGGTAGGACCGCGTCGCTGTGAGTCTGTCTGCAAAACCTCCCCGGCCTTCCACCCCTTGTCGTCTCTCCTGCTGCCGCTGTTTGAGCCGCCGGCCTTTCTTGCCGGAACAACTATAATCAGCAGCTACCTGGTCTTCCAGCTTTCACGCTTAATCCTTTCAGTCAATTCAATGCAAGATCAAGAGAGACCCTTTAACGTGTAAGTCAGGTCACACTGAAGCCCTCCAATGGCTTCCTGTTTTTTTCAGGGTAAAAGCATCATCTTTCAAATGACCCACGAGTTCCTGCTGATCTGTACCCTTGCTGATTCTCTGAACTCACCCTGTTCTCCCCTCTCTTCATCTTCTCCTGCCATGTTGTTAGCCTCCTTGCTGTCCCTGCGGCACCCCAGACATGCTCCTGTATCAGAGCCTTGGCACTGAAGGGCCCTCAGCCCAGAATGCTCTTGCTCTGAGGTCCACATAGCCCAGGACTCACTGTGTCTCTGCCCAGTGGCACCACTGCGTGCTATTTAAGGTGCCAACTCTCCCCCGCCCTGTGCCTCCACTCCCCTTTCTCACCCCCCCCCCACTTTCTTATCCTCAAACTTACTGTCTTCTCAC